GTATGTGGCACCAACTAGCAGTGCAGGCCCGCCCCGAGGTTGGTCCCAGGGAACTCAGCACCTTCCCGGCTGCCAGCCAGGAGGGACCACTGCTCCACCAGGCTCCACTCCACCTCCTCACACCATGTCTACATGCTACCGGCAGGGGGGGGGGGACAGAATCAGCTGGAAAAGGAACAGTAGCTGAAAGAGGGACAAATAGGGAGTTCAAGATGCTAAAGAAAAGAGGAGGCAGCATCAGGCTCCCTTCCCCTAGAAGGGCTTTCCACTATTGCCCCGCTATCTGCAGCCACTGCTCCTCCAATCTCACATCCCTTGCCACAGGCACAATCCACCCTTCAGCTGTGAACACTTCCCCCCCCACCCCGCCATGGCAATAATGCTCCCAAGCCTTTTATCGCTCTCTCCTCCCCCCCTTCTTTCTAAAAACCACGGCCAGGAGAGAGATCAGCTAAACAAAAATTTAAACCAGTGCAAATGTGAAATACAAGGTAAAAAAAGTCTTTTGCTATTACTGGACATGCTGCAGACATTGTGCCTAGTAACTGTGGCAACATCTAGCGCAAAAGAAACTTAGCATGAATCTTTTGTTTTTAAATGACATTCAACTCAAACATGCATAGGGAGAGTAAAGTTATTTTATTAAATCATGCACATCACGTGTGTTAGTGCAAATAGTTTAATCTGTACTCCAGAAATTCTATTGTATTTTTATATCTTTACAAAATAGATTTAAAACAATTATTTACTTTAAAAAATGTAATTCTGAAGTTAAGCATTTCAGAACAATATTTGCAATAACCTATATACAAGAGGTACTAAGTACCACTGGCATACGAGTGTTCCGTGGTTGGGTGGCTTTCTGCAACTGAAAAGGATGAAATGAATGAACTAAATGACAATATTTATTTTCTACGAGTCACTTGTGGACTATTTTTTCCAACTAATAATCCTCCCATTAGCAAATCCCATGTAACTTAAGATAGAACCTTTAAAGGACAATGACCCTTAAAACCTCACAAAGTAAATTATATGCTAAATTTCTATTTAAATATTTAAACTATCTGTCGATTGCCGTAACATTTTTTAAAGCCAATTCAATTGCTGAGATTACCTCCCTATTCTGAAGTTTCCGTTAGCAGAGCCATTTTACTTTACCATTCTTTAGCATATTATTTAAGTCTTTAATAAACTTTTTTGACAGAACTGTTGAGCTGAACAAGACAACTACAGTCTACATTTAATTCAGCACTAACTACAGTGATTCCCACCAAAAGTCAGCAAATAGCAATAGTTATAGTACTTAGATAAGGAAAATAAACTTTGTAATGGGGACCACTGCATCATACTTACAGCCATGTGATGAGGATGCACAAAATTTTACTACAAAATTAAAATCATCTTGACCTGACAATACATCATCAAGTATATGATTCCAATTTTGCAGTATTTTATGTATCTTAGATTTTTTTCAGCTAATCACAGACATACTGTAGCAGTTCTCTTAATAAAGTTACGTCAACAAAAGCTTATCTAAAGAGAGCTTCTCCAGCTCAAGTCAGAAAGTATCAAATGACTGAAAAAATAAATTGATACATGTGGTATGTGTATTCATACTTTTAAAGAATGTATCTCTTTAAATATATGAAATTTAATAAATTACATTCAAACTAAAGTTAACGTAAGTTGAATCACTGCACTATGTCCATCAAATGACCAAGTACTTGCTCCCAGAAATACCTCAGTTCACTCAAGAACACACACATGCTTACACTCGCACACGCGCACGCTAAATACTCTAGGCTGGTCTTCACCATCAGTATCTCTCTCTCTTTAAGGCTGGACATGAATTGTGTTTATTCCCAAAAATCATTAATAAAGCAATCCTTATCAAAGAAAAATATGCTTCCTTCAAAAGGCGTGGTAAGAGAAGTTTTCTTGAGTCTTGTTCCCAACAGCTCAGTGACTAACAGCAAGTAAAATGGTATACTACTTTTTTTTTTTAAAAAAAAACACAACAACAACAACAAAAAAACCCCAACAGAACAAAAAAAAACCCAAAACAAAACCAACAAAAAAAACCTGTACTGAAAGGCACTGAGCATACTGCATCTGTTTTCCAAGTATCTGCAAGGTTACTTGGCTTGGGTGTCCAAATCAGAAATGTGTTTTTCCTTTTAAATCTGGCAATCAGATTCTAAAGTAAGTGTCCACAACCCTAGCCATTATAAATAATTTGGTACCAAGAAGCCTACTTTAGGCCACCATTATAGTATTCAGAATCCCAACATACTAATTTAAAACTTGCATGAAATTGTAAGCAAAAGTATTGCTCACAGTATGATGAATCACAATTTTATTCCCTCTTTATAGACAGATACATTTTATACAGTTTAAAGCAAATGACCCTACTGCTGTTCTCACGCAGAGCTGTGCTGTATTAAGAGGTAAAAAGGAAGAGAATTAATCTGTTTTCCCTCAGTATATGAATGTTGCCAGCTTCTAAAGGGAGGACGGTGTATGGATTCAACAACAGTTCTCATGGAGAAGCTCTGGTTAGGCCTGGGTACAGCACCACGGCTGTTACAGCAACCAAAGCTGCCATCACAGGCATCCAAGGCCATTGTCTCTGTGTGGAGAGAAAAAAAAAATCAATATCATATTTGTTCTAATTCATACTAATCAGTTTACCCTGTGGTTCCTGAAAGTCCTGAGTACCTGTTGGTAGGCATCACTAAAATGTTACCCATGAGCCTTACTGCAGGCTAGTCCTGACTCAGAGCATCACAGTAAACCGTGTTTCTCTAGCAAAGGGAACTCCACAACTCTTCATGACTGAGGATCATCAGGAGAACTTTTGGCAGTTCCGTATTTCCAGCTTCATTACTGTACGCATCTCAAAGAAATCTGCTATTGAACATGTGAGGGCTTAAGATGTTTAAAATATGGCTTGTGCCAAGTAATCGCTAGACACAGGTTTATGCAGTAGTGACATCTTTAACTTAGCTTTTCAATGTTTAAATCCAGATCTACGAAGTTAGTTTGTGGCAGATCCTAACAACATCATTTCAAATGGATTGTCACAACATTTCATGACAACAATAGCATTTGAAGAGGAAGACACACTGAGAGACGTTAGAGAAAATGCAAGCTTAGAGTTCAGAATACAAACCAACCACCTATTTCTCATCTTGTCTTTTTTTCCATCTTCTTCACAGCAATAGCAAGAAAAATTAAAGTGTTTAGAGCCAGAGAGGAATTTCTTAGTCCATAAATAGGAACCAAAGCTTGTTGATTTTCATCATTATTTAGAGGCAAACTCTTCATTTCTCATAGTTAATTAAGCAATTAAGTTTTCTTACAGGCCCTGGCATCGCAGCATTGTGCAAAAGGTAGCCCATTTGCTAAAGACAAACTGAGACCGAGTTAGAAGAGGCACATTCAGAACCAGTTAGAATGAAATTAATTGTTAGAATTAAAGAAATCACACAGATGTTACATGATTAGTTGATTGCTCAGCTCATCAGTATCAACAGAATGGCATATTAAATGAAGGGTTTGCTTCAGGTAAAGAAACACCTGTGAGCATTTCACCATGCACTATTTTATACAGAAATGGCACGAACAGGTGAGAGGGACAAACATACATTGACTGAACAGTAGTGCTTGTACCTTTCGCTACCACAATGGGCCGTAACACCAATACAGGAAAGCCAGGATTAGGCCGATGAATACGGCTGGGACGGGTTGTAATATGGAAGGCTAAAGAAGGGAAGGGATATTAAAAATCACTTTGTGCTATAAATCAATCAGGTAAAGATGATTTAGAGAGGGGAAAATAAGTCAGTGAGTTTTGTTTTAATTGAAATGTATTAAAAGACATCTAACACAATACAGCATTATCTAATCTGGTATACAAAGTTAGTACACCATTCTACTCAAATGAACAGGGATATTTAAAAATAAAGGGAAGTAAGCAGAAAATGTTCTCAGAAACCTCTTGTCACAACTTGGAATTCAGCACTTAAAAACAATACAAATCTTAAACTGATTTGCCTGTATCTTATTTATAGTTGGTTTTAGTTTTTCCAAGTGATAGGAAATCCCATCTGGATTTCTTAAGGCAGAAAGACTCACACCAGATACTGAATTTTTCAGCTACTTCTTCATTCCTTGCAAGTTAGCCTTTCCCATTTTCCATCACCAGCCTCCAGGAAAAACAATCTTTCTCCTCCATTAGTGAATCAATTACAACTATGTCCACAGGCAAACCCAGTAGTTCAGACATTTCTGTGAGATTGTAACATGACTGTACAATCAACACCAAGTTACTATGAAGCAGGGAAGTACATTTCTATTAGAGATACCACAAAGATCAGCATCTCTGGCAGGTCATCAGCCTTGTGACCAAATGCAGTTCTGAAAATGAATGTTGCAGCTGGGCCAAACTGGCAAGATTGGCCAAACCAGCCGGCAAGATTGCAGGGTTCGTTTAGCTTATGGCCTCGTTAGAACCATCTACACATTTTCTCAGCTACATTTAATTAACTGTAAACTACTTTACTTCACATTCTGGATGGATAGCCTCTACCCTTAATATGATAAATTAAAAGCAAAAATGGACCTAATTTCTTTTTAAGCTGTCCTTGGAAGACATCTTTTTTCTTTGTATCTTAGTCTATATATTTGTGCACACACACACAGACACACAGAGGTTAAGTTCAAACCATGCCAAATATTTTCTTAAGAACTTTTTTGTGCTGAAGCCACCTTGATTTTGTTCAGTCAAATAAATAAATAAATAAATGCATGTTTGAAGACTTTATAAAAAAATTGTGATTCATAAATAAAATCTCATCCTATTATGAATTGTAGAAGTCACTTAATCATAGGACCTCCAATATGGTTCAAAACACAGGAATCTTAGAAGGTATTATAGTCTTTGCCATTCAATTCAAATTTGTTTTAATCAAGGCAAGTATTTAATAGGCAAATTATGTGTAACAAAGTCATTTTCATGCAGGATTATTTTTGTGTCATTGGTGCCACAAATCAGAGTGCCACCTTCCCACAGAAAGCATGTTGGTAGAAATAATAATAGCAATGTTCAAATAGTGCCAGAAATTTAAGTCAACCAGAGCAGCTAATGTTCTCAAACCATTCACATAAACAAATCTGTCATATAAAGCGTATCAGGAAATAATCAGTGACTACAAGCATGCAAGCACAAGTAGTACACCACACCGCTAAGCATTTCAGAACACTTTTTTTTTTGTAAGTAAAACTTAAGTGTAAAAACTTAATATTTAAATGATATCCCAAATAGAGTACTTTTCTAACATGTGTTAGTTCACCAAACAATTCTATGGATTTACTTTTTTTTTTTTTTTTTTTTAAATTTTTAAAATTATACACATTCCTGGTTGTGGCATTTTGGCAAATGAAACAGATGATAAATATCTACCACATTAAATGAAATTGCCTCCAAACGATTATATTTTCCCCCTCACGAACTTATCAATCTATAACAAATCTCCCTATTGTCAAGGAGCATTTAACTAGGTGCTTCATCAAAAATGTGCATCTTGCGTTAGAATATGAAGATATGCAAATTCAGATACAGATGGACTGCAAAAAGAAACAAATCCCACAGTGGAAAGTCACTTTTTGTGGGACACCGTCCTTTGAAATGAAGTAGCATATAATGATTCCACCATAAGGGGACACTGGTACTTGAAAAATTTGACCTTGGAACTCATCCCAGGATCCATGATGCTTCAAATAATCCAGAAGATAGATATGTTTTACATTACTGATTGTGAGTAATGCCTGCTTGAACAGCAAGCTTGTCCTGCAAGTCCTTTTATGGTTGGATGCTCTTCATCATACCCTGACCTCCAGGTTTCAACTGTCATAACGACCTCCTCCTCTGCTGTGGTTTCTGATTTCATCTAAATCCTCACCTCAAATTCTTCCTAAAATTTCCCTTACCTTGCAAGCTTTTCCACTTTCATCAGGTGCTCCAATTCCCTTCACAGTATTTCTTCCCTCTACTATCCCCCTTTTTTCACTTACCATTTTAATCCTGAGGTTAATGTTTTTAACAGAGCAGAAAATCTCACATTCACAATTATTTATTCAGTGTGACCTCTTCTACGAGAATGGGAGTTTTTTGGTTGCTTGTTTTTGACTTCTGTCTACTTTAGTAACTCAATATTATCTGAGCATTGCAGAAGAAATCTAAGCAGGAAGCATGTTCCAAGAGAATTATAATCTCATATTCCTGAAAATATGGATGAAAAAAACGAGAAGGGATTTGAATTCTTCACATCTTTGACAGCTCTACTATGTTAGAGGTTTACATTCAGTAACTGGCTATGGCAAGAGTATTCACACAAACTTTGGGGATCTAGCAGCCAGCTGACTTTAGAGGATGGTACCTGTAAAACTTTCTTCATAGTCAGAGAAACAGTTTTCTAAAAGGCCATTACAGAGCATCCATTATCCTCCTGTTTTGTACTGTCCACTACTGGAGTTGTTCACCGTGCACTGATCATAGAGGTAGTACAGGAAGACCATAAACCAGCCATCCCAGGGTAGTAAGGTATCTAAAATAAGGCTATGACCACCTTATAACGTGTCTGCCACACCCTTAACATTTGGAGGATTTCAGAACTCTCAGTATGAAAAAAAAAGTTGTCCTTAGCTGTAAACTCAATTCTAATGATACAACCTCTCAAATTAATTGCAACAGAAAAGAATATTTTCATTAGTGAATAGAAAGGACAGTTCAACTGCACTGTTTAAAGCATGAATCACTGTTAAGAAGCATAAGCAAGAGTAAGGAGGGAACATCTGTTGTAATAAACACTAATAAAATAAAAGCATCTTGAAAAAGGTTGCTTAATTCATTTACATACAGGTTTCTCAGCTTTCACCCATGTATCATTCTCTGAAATTAAAACGATTTGCTTAGTTCTGGTTCACTAGTATTTAAGCCAGATGTTTGCAAGAGAGCAGATATCTAAGGCCATACTTAAAACTGTCACACAACTGTAAATTTAACTTGCACGCATAATTGTAACAGTGCAATGTCCTGCAAATTTGCACAGGTAGTAACAGAATTGAATTTTGCATATAATATAGCACACAGTCTTTTTTTTTTTTTTAAGTCCATTCTTTTCTATTTGACACTTACATGCTCTCTCAATCAACAGAATTGCCAGTGTCATAATCCTACTTCCCCACATATTTTGTACAGACTTACGTTGTTTCCTTTTTCTTGTAGCAGCTTCAGGTTTTCTTTACATTGTTTGAGCTCTTCTGTGAGTGACTGATTTTCTTGTTCAGCCATCTCATACTTTGCCTTCAGCTCTGAGAGCACAGTCTGTGTTCTTTCATACTAAAGACAAAGAGAAAACAGTCTGCGGACCTCTGGACACCCAACACATGCTTACATTTGCTTAGCTTCCTTTCCTGTCATCTGCCTAGAGTAACTCGCCTTGGATCAGTACACTCTCTTTTCACAAAAGCAGGGTAGAAAAATCGCGGTTTAGATTTTCTTTTTTTCTAAATGAAGATTTTGTCCCTGATACTAAAGGGCTAGGATTACTAAAAAAAAAAAAAAAAAAAAAGAAATATGAAGTAAACGCAAGACCTTAATTCATCTCTCCTACCAAACAATTACTCATTATCACATTGGAAAGGACTATAAAAACTATGAAGTTGAAACAGGGGAACAAAGAGACCTTTATGTTTAAATAGTGGTCTTACACCTAGGCTGCAGTTTAAATACCTACACCAATCAAATAGGTGCAAAAATCAACATTCTGTATGAAGTAAAACAAACCCTCTTCCCACACAGCAAACTCAAACATAAGAGTAAGAAGGGCATTAAAAAATATTACTCCTTATTACAATCATGCCATAATCCTCAGCGTGGGTCAAGTACGAACAATACTAGCTGAACGTGTCTCATGTTCCCACAGTATGGGCAGCTTCTCCTTTTTCAAACTCACACTCAATTTTTTCTATAGATCACAAGCTTTCTAATAGTCCTCATGACAGGGATTAATAAGGACAGAACCAATGACTTTCAGTACTGGCATTTACCATAAATTTAAAAGATTAGGCATCTTTACAAATACATCTGATTACAAAAACACAGATAACAAGAGTGGGTTTTTCAAATTCTGAAAACAGTGAGGAATGTGACATGGATGAATTAATAACAAAACAAAGGACTGCAAAAGAAACTAAAAGCAGTGACTGGAGCAAACTTCACTCAAAATGCTCATAAGAGAAGGCAAGTAATTGTTGGAGGCTACGGCCTTCTTACAGACATAACCTTTAGAGGCTAGGCAGATGAAATACATGCTCAAAATGCTAGCTTTTCCTTATGCACTTGCTAATCATCTTCAGCAGCCTAGTGACCTAGTAAGATGAAAGGAGACCTCTGTAAGGAATGTGTAGTCCCATTGTCAAATAAAAGAGTTTAAATCTAACTAGGAAGATCATACTGACTAAAAAGAATTAATTTTGGTTCATAACAGGTAATGAAACTCTATACCACGATGTTCAGGAAGACTCTGAATAAGGGTTTACCTGTCTGAACAGCTTAAAAGTAAATTCACTAAGGTAATGCACAAAAGTAAACTTTAGGAAGTTCCCAAAACACGTGCAAGTCATTCTATCCGAAATCTTTCTTTTTAGATTTAACCCCCAGTTTATATGTTGTTAGCTACCATAAAAGTGCTTGCAATAGAAGTATGAAAAATTTTCATTACTAGAAATCTTATCTTTTTCCTTTTCTTTTAGCTTAAAAGTCAAAGACATTGGGCATTATATTCTCTCAAACTGGAAATAATGTTTCGTGTTACCTCTTTCTGAAAATCTTTTGCTTGACTCTCAGCTTCACTGAGCTGGCTTTTTAGACTAGCTGCATCCCGTTGATGTTTTTCTCTCAAAGATCCCATCTGATTTTCAAGCTCCTTTCGAGACATTTCAAGAACACTTATATCGCTGGTTAGCGCTAAACTCTGTTTCTGAGAGCTGAAAAACAAAATCCAATTGATTCCTCATATATTTTAAATTTAAACAAACAAGAGATTTTTTTAAAGCACTTTTCATCCTCCAAAGCTTCACACATTATTTTTATTTAATACCAGAAATATCAGCTTAGATCTATCATAGAAGTGCAGATCATCACTGTCTCCCTATACAAAGTACTGACACAAAAGGTTGGCCATAGTCCTGCTTTTAAATATATGTGCACAGCTTAGTGTGTATAATTAATTATAATCTATAATTTAAATAATTTATCATTCATAATTTTTAGTTTCTTATTTTACTTTTTATTATTCATGAAGTATTTATTATATACGCCAAAGTATTTTGAAACAAATTTGTAACAAGAAGTTTGTCCAAGGTTGTTAGAAGTATTTCATTTATTTGCACACCCGCTTCTTTGCTTACTCCAGTTGCATAAGCTAATAGCGAGTACATTCTTCAAGTGTTTAGTACAATGGTGTAATAGTCATAGAAAGCTCTAAATTAAGCCATTACAAACTTCAGTGTAATAACCAAGTAGTGTTAATTTGTGCCTGTGCAAGACAGAAAGAAAAATAAGGGAGAGATCTTGCATATCTCCATAATGCAAATCCTGTATTTGCTCGTGTGACCTTCCATATGAAAAAATCCGAGTGGAAATCAGGGCATGATGGAACGAAAAAGAAAGGTTTGATTCGTGTAAAATAACACATTACTTCTAGAAATGTTCTACTGTGGGAAATTTCCTTTTTTTCAATTAGATCTTACAACAGTGAGGAAGCCAGGGGGGAGGGGGAAAAAAAAAAGTATCGAAGCGTGACAGTAAAATTCAGATCTACAATAAAACAAAGTTGCTGTTCCATATTTACTTTGTGAATTAAATTCCAATATCTGAAACTGAAAAACAACATAATAATGGCAGATTAAGGGATAAGAGGGGAAGTTAATTCCAAGCAGAAGATTTAGATAGCCTTTACCAACGCCATGTGCTCAAACAGCAAAAGAAATACAGTAAAATACAAATACTCCTGCACTCTAAAATTCCTCCCAAAAGATCATAGAATCATAGAATCATTAAGGTTGGAAAAGACCTCTAAGATCATCGAGTCCAACCGTCAACCCAACACTACCATGCCCACTAAATCACGTCCCTAAGCGCCTCATCTACACGTCTTTTAAATACTTCCAGGGTTGGTGACTCCACCACTTCCCTGGGCAGCCTGTTCCAAGGCCTGACCACTCTTTCAGTAAAGAAATTTTTCCTAATGTCCCGTCTAAACCTCCCTCGGCGCAACTTGAGGCCATTTCCTCTCGTCCTGTCGCTTGTTACTTGGCAGAAGAGACCAACCCCCACCTCGCTACAACCTCCTTTCAGGTAGTTGTAGAGCGCGATGAGGTCTCCCCTCAGCCTCCTCTTCTCCAGGCTAAACAGCCCCAGTTCCCTCAGCCGCTCCTCATGAGACTTGTGCTCCAGGCCCTTATATTATGGTGCTTGCGATAAAAAGATTTGTATTTTTCTGTTAAGCAAAATACGATATACAATACTGTTTCTGCCCATCATTACTATTTATAATGTGACAGGCTTCCATGAGACACCATACTATCAGAGAATCATTTTCCAACTCTGAACGCTGAGAAAATTTTAGGTTAGGAAATCTTTGGTTTATCATCTTTTCAGTAGCAGGATAACTGTTAAGTCTAAATACTTCCACAATGCACACTTCCAAGTCCTTATTAAAAGCAGCAAAATAAGTCAGGTTACCTTATGACGATGTAACGTGGCTGATAAGTAATATAGAAGCATTTGCAAAATTGCTTGGTGTAATGATTTGGCATGAAAGTGTGTTCTGCCCAATACTATGATATAAATAAAATTTCAATACATTTATTGAAACAGCATTAGACATTTAGTACCACTTCGGGGAAGAAAAAACAACAAAAAAACCTCTTCAGCTACTATGATACCTTCCTCAACAAATCCATTGTGCCCTTACCTAGAAAGCTCCTTCTCTTGTCGTTGAAGCTCAGATGCAAGCAAAGTATTCTCCTTCCTTAGTGTAACACATTCAGCTTCCAGAGCACTCCACTTTGCCTTCAACTTTTCAAGTTCACCTGCAACGAATAAAATTTAATTGAATTGAGTAAAAGTATTTCATGACCACTTCAAGTATCACCAGCTGATAAATGGAGGAAAAAGCTGTTATCAGTCGTAAATCTCAAATATATTTGATTATAATCATGTCACATGAATTCTCTCACAAGCACCTATAAAACGTTACCATATCTTCTACTGTTATGAGGTTTGTGAGCCATTAAACAAGCTAGTGCTTTTTTTTTTTTTTTTTAACATGAGCTTTTTCTAAGGCATAAAGGAGTAGAAAGCAGTCTGGTTTCTACTGGGTCTACTCTAGCAGTTTAGAAACAGTAACAGAAAAGTGTATTTGAAGAAAATAATCTCCCAGACCTGAAAATAGCAAACAACTAGAATCACTAGATACCATGCCTGCGCTACAAGGAACAGAATGTTTAAAGCAATAACTTAAGAGTGCAAGTGAGACATTTGAAATAAATCAGTCCCTGGTAAAATAGATAAAAATCAGTGTTACACACGTCTTAGTAAAACAATGACAGAGACTGGAGTCTGAACTGGAAAAAGGCTTCTCTGGCAGCTTCACAAAGATTAACTCATTCAGAATTTAAAGCATATTTTACACATGCCAGTTTCTCTCTGGCATGTACAAAGTTTCAGCACGAGCTTTTGAATTCTATTAGCAGATTCTCCAAGACCTGAAGCTACAGGCCTGGAGTAGTGGCTCTCATTGCACTCATCTGAGTGGCTTCTCATCTCAGTCCTCATGAGATGTGGGTGCATTACAAGTAAAGTGAAAGGCAAATGAGTAAGCCTAAAAGAAGCCCTATGCTGGCTCAGCACAACATATTTGTATATCTCTACATCATGTGTCCAGAATAAAGCTTTAGTTTTAAGTCTATTTTAACATTTTTATGTTAAAAATGAGATGGTAACACGAGTTTTATTAAGCCATAAAACACAATTATTTATGTTTGTCTCCAGTGAAGCTTTGCTAGAAAAATTAAAAGGTCAGAAGCTACGCGTTTACGGGCTTAAATTATACAGAAGTTATACAAGTCCTTTGGGAAATCTGTGGCAGTATCAATCCCTCAAACAGTACAAGTTTTCCATCTTTTCTAAGTGGAATTATACTTGGCCTACTTTTGAAATCAAAGGGTACCTAAGCTAATTTAGGCATAATTGGCAATTGATATTTCATGAAGTATACACAACAGCTTTTTTAACACTCAAGCCTTGATACACATATAAATACACGCATATGTGTATATATATAGACACAGTAAATGACTACAGAGAGACAGACAGTCAAATAACGATTTGAATAATTGACACTCATTAATGTGAAGATTGAGAATGATGCTACTGTTAGCACTGGTCTGTGGCATCCTTTTAAACAAGCACCTTTTAAGCGAGTAGCCTCTTCCTTCTGCTGATCCTCACACTGCTGACATCTGAGCTGAAAACTGGCTTGCAGACTGACAATTTCTTTTTCATAATCTGAGGCATCTTTCCGCCACCGTTCAAGTTCCGCTCGCACTGTTTGCAGCTCGTCTTGCAATGCAGAAATATCTGTATCTCGTTCTGATGCTGCCTTTTCTGCTACTTGTTGAAGTGACAGAATCTCATTTTGAGCACTGACTAGTTCATTTCGAGTGCTTGAAATTTCATTCTCCTTTTCCTCACGAAGATTCTCAATATCTTCTTGTAACCTTCGCAACTGAGCTGGAATGCATACATTAATGTTAATATTTTTAAAAACTTATTTACAGAAAATCTAAAAAACATAGCTCCCTTTCTTAACTTGTTGATGTTTAATAGGACTAAGAATCCTAATGTAATTGAAAAAGATATTAATCTTGTCAAATGCTGTATCCTTAAAGAGACATGTATGTAGGGTCATGTATTAGAGAGTCAAAAGGAACAAGAATTATGGTTGGACAAAGCTGTCTTAGACAGGGTTGTGTTATGTGTGTGATACTAAAGCAACTCTCCAAAATCTGAAACCAAGATTTAGATCCAACTTCACTGTAAGCAAAACAAGTATTACAGAACAAGGACACTGCGGGGTTTGGGGACAAGAGGAAAAGCAAGAAAGCTTCTGTGACAAGCCAAACAGTTGCAAAGCTACATTGGAAATGTTTGCCTGTTCAGCTGTTAAATTGTGATATCCATAAACATTTGAGGCACAGTGTCTCTGCTGGAGACTGGAGTTTCTACTCCAGTCTCAACACGTAGTAAAGGAAATAAAAATTACTTTACTTCTTTGCAAAAAGCATTTTTCAAAGCGCACGACTGATTGAAAGGGACAGTTGCCCCGAATATACTGAACTATAAGAAGTCCTTTAGCATTTACTGTTTACTGTAAACGTGCAGCAGTCACATACATGCTATGTTATTTTACATTTCTGCATGAAGCAAATCATAAATTATTCTCATTCAAAACTGTTTCATTACTAAACACATCTGTTCTCTGAACACAACTATTTTTCATAAACACACATGCAAATAGAATCCACTGCGAACAGTTGGAAGAAAAAAAGTACAGTACAGAGGAAAGGGAAGCATGAAAGAAAGAACAACAAAATTATAGTTAAAACCCTGATTGATGGAAGCAAAGTGTTTCATTTGCTCGTGTTTTTGTTTTGCTTTTTAAAGAACACATATCAGAGTTCACATGTACTTAATTGATTTTTAACACGGGGAAAAAGCAATTACTAAATTAATGAGGAATTGCTCTGAGCAGAAAAGTGGAAACTTCTTAACATCACTTGAAAACCTAATATAAGATACTGCAGAGGGTCAGAACGACACATTTAAAGTTATATGTTTCAGAAGCAAAGGGCAGAAAAGGACAGTAGAAAGCCCAGGGAAGATAACCAAGGCTAAGTAACCTTCATAGATTTCTTATATTTATTTTTGTTCTCTCAATCCATTACAGAAGATGACATGGAGAATGTGAGCAAGTTGTGCTGTAAACTGATATAGCATAAAAACTACTTGAGAGACTTGCACTTTCATGACAACTATACTTGATGTTTTTCAGTAGCTGTATATACCGTAATATAGGTAGAATTCATACACAGGTACAATCTAGAAACTTTGCTGTTGATGTACAGTGAAGAAGAAAAATGCAACTTTTTTCCCCCTCCTCTAAACAGGCTCCAGAAAGACATTTAGCTCATTAGATAAACTAAAAAAACTATGAATTACCCAATTCCACACTCTGGAAGAAAAAGACAGTATGGGAAAAAACACGGTAATTATTCTATATTGTAATATATAAAAGATATTATAGACAACAGTAAGTTACATTTCACAGCAATTCTGTGTAAGATGAAACAGTATCTGTTCCATAACAGAGACATTTGCAGCATAATGGATTTTTAAATATATGTGAGCAACATGAGGCTTGCTACCACCTCCTTTGTTTGGAAATAGTTTCTACAGGGTTATGCTAGCAGAATAGCAAAGTAGTAGATGAGAACAACCCAACAGTAATACAACACATTACACGTTAACAATTGCCTTTCCATGTATCCTTACATTATAAGCCTTGAACCTACCAAACCTATACGCTAGGAAACCATGTTTCTATAACACCAAGAATTACGACTTGCTAACACAGCAGGTGCCCATTAATGAGCAAAGGGGTGATTTTTCAAAACATATCTTCCTGATACTATTTTCTTTATCAAGCCAAGCTAAATTCCTGCTTCTCAGTAATGGCAGTATTTCAAATAAATTTGTTTTTTTCCTTCTGTCTGCATTGTTCATGAACAACTCTCCCTTCAAATGTTCAGGCATGAAAACAAGCATGGTATGACTGAAAATCCAAACACATGCAAGTGTTTCTAAAGTTTGGTGAAGTTGCAGAAGTAACTTACACAGAAAAATTACTACCAAGAATATTGAATGGTTTCTGAAGCACTGGATATAATATGAAAGGGCAATTAGAACTAAAAGTTCCATTACATCTCTTATTTATGTAAGCCATTATCTCATCTAAACCGAACGCTTCACTTTTTTTTTTTTTAAATAAGTAATGACAAGTTACTTGAATTTCCTTGCTTTACCTATCTGTTCATCTAACGAACTTCACACGTAGAGACAGAATCTCAACTGTTTCTGTGGCACCTTCTGTTCTCTATGACAAATGTATAAAGCCACGTAGCACTGGCTGGCCTAAAACATTCATTCCATGAAAACACTTTAAGAAATGTTACTGCATGAATCTGCCAGGAATATTTTTTCTCCACTACAGTTCATAGAAGCTGCAAGAAGAATCCAGACATCCTGACAGCTTTTCCCAAGTTGTGAGATGTGTCACACCCTAAAAGTTTGGGAAGCACCAAGCATACAATGAAGATCAGAATGTTTTGAACTACCAAGGAGAGAAAAGAGGAGGAAACATAAGCAAGACCTCACTTGAGAAGGGTTCAGGAGACAAAATAGTACTGCACTGACAAGAGGCATCCTGCAGTTAAGTTTGGCTCTGTCAAGTTTCTACTTTGATTCTCTTCTTTGGAGAGGGAAAAAAAAAAGATCTCTTTATTCTGTATAGAAATAACTATCAAATCCCAATTTCTAACTTTTGCTACAATATTTTTTACTTGGAGAATTTTCATTATTAGCAGGACAAGATTCAAAATTAAATTGCTCCTCTTGTTCTGAAAATGAGTATTATGTAAGCTCCTCTTTCTTACAGGCACAATGGCAGAAAACCTAAATATTCTTTGCTGACGTTCATATAAAACAGTGCTATTATTTAAGTTTCTCAGTTTAACTGGTATATGACAAGTACCACATTTCACAACAAGTTACCGCCCATAAAGTAATTTGCTAAAGCTATTTTGATTTCCTAAGAAAGTGAGGATCGTCAGTCCGTCTGCCTGTCTACTCATCTGCCTTCCAACCACTTTTAGGTCCAAACCAAATGATATGCTGACAGAGATACCAAGGTATGAAGCTCGTACAAGTTTCGTAACAATCAATGGCTGAATGACTGCTCTAAGGAAGAGTCATAATACAACCCTTACTGATTTTAAGGCTAGACAGCCTCTTGACCAATATGCTGACTCACACACACAGGCTGACAAGATAACGTAATACAGAATACATGATACAGAAGTTACGTAAATCACAGGATTCCATTCTGCTATAATTATTTTGGGTTGAAAAGAGCATGATTGGTCATACTGTTTTTTCAAAAAGCACAGACAGTGTCTCTGCTGCAGAAATTTTACTGCATACTCTGAGGCAGGATGCAGATCTGGAGTGATTAAAAATTTATTTAAGAGGATTCTACCAATGAAGTGAAGAGACTGAGTAGCACAAAAAAGACTAAGCCTTCTGAGTGCTCTGAAGATAAAATAGTCACACTAAGAATCCTTGAACCATTCAAAGCTGAGAAAAACTGAAGAGAGAGGAAGGAGAAGAGGCATCTGTTACAGATTACGTCTTTTGCATTTTCTAAGTTATGATGAGAACCATAGGAATTGACAAGAAACATTTCACAATAAAATTCAAAGATACGGTGAAAGAAATCAGATTTAAAACAAACACAAAATTAATATTTTCCTTTATTAGTGCTTAGGACACCATGGAAACAGCCAAAGCTATGTATTTTCCCTTAAAAAATGGGGTGAAAAAAAAATTCCTACCTTGCAGAACATTTATTTGCTTGTTAGATTCTTCAACTTGCATTCGATATGCTTTTCTCTCTTCTTCCAATAGCGCTATAAATGAAAGTGAAAATGTGCCCAGAAGTTTTTGTTAGTAAGAGGTATTTCAGCTCTGTAATTAATTTTAGTCACAACTTCCCCTTAATTAAAAAGATTAAAACAATCGTATTATTTCAGTAAGTTATCAAAGCTAATAACTGTGTAAGTAGTTTAATAAAAAGTTAATATTAAGACATCATTCCATTATTGTGGTAGTATTACAATTAATTTGAAATTAATATAATCTGTTGCCTGATCCAAAAACTCTGTGTGCTCTAAATGCAAACTGGCACGGGAGGAGAAAAAAAAAAGCTGTAAATATACCCCATGAAGAACACTGAACAATACGCAATTAAACTGGACTATACTATTTCCTGTCAAAAACAACCCACAGTTTGCTGAGGATAATGATACAGCTACGTATCTGGCAGGATGGTCTAAACAAAGATCTACCAGTGAATACATTAAATTATGTGCGTTATCTGACTGAAATACAGATGAATCGATACCTGTAGATGAATTTATAAGGATGAAATATACGGAGTTCAAGCATGTATTCAATACTATGAAAAGATGTTGGTCTATCTTGAACCAAAAAGTCAGAGCTCAATCTCACTCTATATAGTTTAGAAAAAAAGCAAGAGTTTCTGACATGCTGTGCAGGAGATGTGAATGCTATGAAACAAATTTATCTAACAGACAGTCAGCAAACTGGACCCCCTTTTAAGACTACCTGATAAATACAATTTTAATGGATACCCTACACAGCCAAGTTGATCTGGGTCTCACCTTGAAGTTCAAAGCATTTTTGTTTACTTGTCCTAGCTAGCTCTTGGGCTTCAATCAGCTCCTTGTGCAGTTGCTGAATTTCTTGCTTAGCCTCAGTCTCTGATTGTGCACCTTGCAATTCATCTGATAAAAGAACATTTTCTTTAAATCATAAATTTGTACAACAGTTTAATTTGCACTGCCATATGATGACTGGTGACTTTTTATTCAAATAATCCGAAGTTAGTTAAAGTAAACTCAAAATTGGATTAGGTAAATATTAGCAAAAATATTAATGTACTTTTAAAAGGAGGAAAACATACGCAAACTTTAAAACATTCATTATATATAACATGCAGTATAAAACAAAAACAAACAAGAATTACAGAGTTTTTAAAAACACTGTATAGTTTGGCAAGGATTCCTGGATTGACAAAAATGAAGGAACAACAAGTATAAGACAATCCTTGACTGTGTTTACAACTCGTCTATTTTAAAAGGAAGCTAGTCTAACCTTCTCTCCTAGCATACACTTACCAGCAACGATCCAGTGTCCCCTACCTCCCAAGCCCACCCTCCCACAGTCCTGCTCCTGACAGCACGTACCAGCCCTGGCAGGCAGCATATCAGCCCATGTACAGACCCAGCCTTGTCCTGAGGCTGGTTAATGCCAGTCAGCTGCAAGAGATTATGCAAAGAGTTGCTATTAAGTGGTTTGCTACCGCCAATCGGCTTGCTACCATGCAAGGCTTGGCTTCTCCCCTCTGTGGACCATAACTACAAGAAAAGGAAAAATTTGGGGAAATTTTCTAAAACAAATTAAGAAAATGAAGAAAAGTCCACCCTCCTTATTTCATTCAGTGGCCTAGTGAATACTAAGCTAAATTTTGCCCTTAAAATTTTTTCCACTATGTCTTAAAATATTAGGTATATTTTTAACACAATTGGAGATCTATGCATGTTATTTAAATAAAAACATTTGCTCTTCCCCACAAGTTTTGTATTAGCTAAAATGCATATTAAATATCACTTGGACTTATAAGAGATGACTTGCAGTCGCAGACAGATTAAATAGTTTTAAAGCTGAAGTTTTGGGGGAACTTAAAAGAGGAAAAATAAGTATTTGTAACTAATAGCAGTGTCCTCTAATGGGCACACACTAGAAACTAGATGCAGTAACAAAGAGGAAGACAACACTTTAGCCTGGTATCTGCAATGTCAGGAGCTGGATCCAGGAAACTTATTCACTAAATTTTCCTTAAGTAGTGTCTGTGCGGAAACAGATCTTTCAATAGGCACAAACAGCACTAATAAACTATATAGCTAGAGGGGTAAAACTTTATATAAGCCAGTTAGGTGAGAAATGTAAAGGAGGGAAATCCATGAAAAAAGTCCTCCTATGCATCATGGCAGAGGGAGAACAAAAAGGTAGATGTGTTACACAGCTAACTGGTTAATGAACATCTACCACTATCGACCATACAGATTTAAGAAAATGGCACACTGCTTAGAATAAAAACCCCAAAAGATAAATTGCTGTCGTTGTCTGGACCTTTCACTAACAAAAAAAAAAATCCAAATACAAGCTATAGTTTAGTTTGTCATTACACTTTTGACATTCATATTTGACTGTATATGTCACCAATAAAGTAACTATAAAAATTTTTTTGCTGTTCTCTTCATTAAAGTAATTGTTTATCAAATCATGCTAAAGTATTCATACTGTACCCCTCTAAGAAAAGAGGCTATGTTTTCCCTATTCTCACAGTAATGAATTGGTGGGATCGAGTAGAGCTGAGGGCACACATGTGCATTTAGACATTTTCAGAACAAAATTATGAGAGCAGAAAGAACAAAGAGGACTACATATTTCATCCAAATACTTTTTTTTATAGTTTAAATTAGAGTTCCAAATCCAAGCTTCTCTTTACTGAACGTGTTTTGTTCTTAGCATCTCATGGATAAAGACTTGGGGCAATTAGACTTTCAACCTTCCTTAATGAGACTGTTCAGAAGAAATGGATGAGGAAGTTGACAAATTATTCTCAAATCATGCCTGATAAAGAAGCAGTGTCCCAAATCCAACAATAGACACCCTAAATGAACTTTCTGGTGGACAGTATTTTCCAATCAATGAAAGCACACATCATAAAAGATAATACTGCTTCAAAGGAGATGAGGAACTCAGCATAATCAGTTTAGCAAAGGCACAATCAAAGTAAAAACTCAAATGCAATAAGGGAATTTTCATATCCCTGACATGCTTCTAAATCAAAAGCCAAGAAATATAAGCACAAGAAAATAACAGTTTTTCTGTCTTACCAAACTGAAAATTTCTTTAATGTCTTTTAGTTCAAAGCAAACATCATTTTTGTGCTAGCTCTAGTTTTGAAAAAAATTCCTTAGTGAGTAGGATTGCTCTATTTATAAACAATAAAACTACTAAATATCATCAGGCTTAGAATTAGTTCCCTCAAGAAGCAAATTCACATCACAAAAACCTGGTTTGAGAACCAATGTAAAAGGCTGCAATTAAAAAAGTATTTGAGAAATTTCCATTCAGCATTGGACTAATGGTTCTCAGAAAAGTCTAAAGAATTCTATCATTAAGTACAACAAGGTGCTAAAAAAAAAAAAAAAAAAGAGTTAAATACAACAGTTTGAAAACCCTCATTCATTTATTCTAGCTCATGGAAGACTTTAATCTGTGGTCAGATTGTTCGCCATCTTACAACAAAGGTTCTTAATTAACACCACTTTGATTCACTCACACACACACTCTCTCCGAGGTTTTCCTTAACATCAACTCTACTGGTAGATTTAAAATTGTTAAAAAATTAGTGTGGTCTGTACAAATCATTCCCAAAGCACATGAAAATCTGGCCCAAGAAATGGAGTCTAACCCATGGGTCAGTTTTGGGAAAAATGACCATTTCCAAATCATTAAAGAATATGATGGTGTGTGAAGGAGTATTTTGCAATTTTAGGATCTATAAAATAAAATTTCAATAAAACCAAAAGAAAAACAAAGCTTAGATTAAATTAATATTTACAAACATGAAGATATTAACAGAGCTCTGCTTCTATGTTTGCCTTTACACTTTTGTTTTGATAACAGAGATGATCTAGAACCACACATAGGCTGTGGTCTTAACTGATCTTATGTGCCTGGCCTGTGGAAGCAACTTTATGAGCAGGCTGGTATTTCTCCAAGTCTCACAGTAGTTTACTTTCAGAATTTTGCAGAATTTCTCAGGTTATTCAGATGACTATTTTCAGAGTACTCAGGTGAAGTCAGATAAAAAATTAAACCCCCGAGTTTTCTTCAGCTTCATAAGATCCACGTAAAGTAAACGGTATCATATATTTAAAATATTTGGCTATTGCAACATAAAGCAATGGTTCCCAAATTTTCTGAATCAACAGACCACTGCTGATTTTCAAAATTTCTTATGTAAACTATCACTGTTCAGCAAACCCTCAATGAAAACACTTTTTATTAAGATTCCATGGATCACTCTTGTAGTTACTCTGAAAATATAAGGAAGTTGATAAGAACAAGATAACTAACCTTCCAATGACATTTATTGCTTCTTTCCATCTGTTTAACATTTATCTGTTCTTAACTTTGCAATAAGTAGTCACAAGCAGCCTGTCTAAACAAAAGCATCCAGGAACTGTTATTAATGGCTAATAAAGTCATTTACTTCGGGGGGGGGGAGCAGTTCTACTAATCTGTGACAGCTTTTCCCCTTCCCCTCTTTGCCAGATTCTGACTTGTAAAAAGTTGGAACAAATCCTGAATACGCTCAAAATTTATTGATGGAAAATACACTTCGAGGAAACTACAACAATTAAAAGTCTCATCGTTTTCTTGCTCCATTAATTTGTTTTGTAAATTCCAATAGTTAAACAAAAAGGAACACTGCCTTTTCCAGCAGCCGTTTCCGCATTCCAAACAGCTGCCAGATCAGAAATGTTCTCACTCTTCCGTAATTTATATGGCTGCATAACAAATCCACTTGAAAGTCTTTCTGTGGCAAATAAGATCCTTTTTAGGGCAAAGTCAGGCGTATGAAGTAGCTCTCTGACAAAACCTCATACAAAACTGCAGGTTTACAGGCTCTTCATAAAAATTACAAGGGCAAATGATTCATCATACAGACATTTTTTAATGGTTTCATGAGAGCAAAATAGGAATGCCCATAAATAGCCTCAAGAGAAAGAGAGTTGTTCCAATTATTTTAGTTAATTACAATATGTAATTCAATAGCAAAGCAGTCTATGCAAATAGGTATTTTTCTACGTATTCACTTGATATTTCAATAATGGTTATAGTTTAAATCTTCAACTGGGTAAAGACAGATGAAGCAATGAGAACATCCACATTACCAAAAGACTGCTTCCATGTTACTACAGAAAACTCGATTTTAGTCCTTTAAGAATTCAATTAACCCTCCCTGCTAGTTTAATATACCCTGGACAGAGAAAGTATAACTACACCTGACCCTTGCTGTGAATCGAGACTGTTCTAATCCAGGAAGCAGCATGCTCACAGCAGCCTCATCTTGGTCTTGGGCTGTTACACGAACCTTTTGGGCAGAACTTAGGAAGACTTCACTTGCATATAAGGAGAATTCAGGAATCAGTTTTCAGCCTGAGGGGTCCATGGACTACTTTTAATGTGTCTGCAGAAGATAACTAAGAAATCCAGCCAATTATGAGTAGTCTTCGCTTGGCTACATATGGGAGCATTCACACTCACTCTTTTTTTTTTGGTTTTTTGTGTTTTGTGGGGTTTTTTGTTTGTTTTTGTTTCGGGGGGTTTTTTTTTTTTTTGAGAATCCAGAAAGGTAGAAAAATCACTAAATCAGTGGACCTACCATGATTGCTTGTTTTTTTAAAAAGTGTGTGGGTGTTTAAAATATTTAGCTAACTACTTCGATTTATTAATATATTGTACAAGAAAAGTTATATAGAATAGAAGTCAAGTCTGCAGCATGAGACATTTTTCCTCATATGACAATATAGATATTTGAAGCTGTTGCCTATTCTGAGACTCGTTATAAAGTTCAATTTATGTGGCTGAAAAATTAGCCAAGACAAAAGTGTATCTGAAAACTATAAGAATTAGAATTTAAATAATTTTGACGTGAGCTGGCTGACTTCAGTTTCTCTACTCTACTGTTTACATACAAAGGGTTGTTCCGGCTGTGAATTCTGTGCATGCGACACTGCTCACAGAAAAAAAAAAAAAAAAACAACTCCATTCTAGACTTAAAGTTCTGACGCTTAATGAACATCATACTTTTCAACTGATTTTTTTTTTTTCCCAAATAAAACTTGCTCCCAAATTTCTTACTAAACATAAGACTATCATAATCACTACGAACAACATTACCAGATTCTACCTTCTAACACAGGAAATCACTGAATATACTTGAATTGCAGAATTAGAGCAAAATCCAAATGGAACATGCTCAGTATCTCAAACACTTCTTTTTAAACTGCTTTGCTGAACTGATATCCATCGGAAAATACCAAACTACATTTTAGTTTTGCTGTTTGGAAACATATAATACATGCAATTTTTGGAAGTCTTTCTGTCATAAAATTAGAGTAGAGTGTAAACAATTACAGAAAAAAGCTCTTTTACAGGTCTCCTACATTCCATTATGGTTTCCTGTCTTTCTGAACCATGAAGAACTGTGACATTCTTTTTACTTGTGATCTGAACATAAGCATCACTTTACAGATCTTATCAAATGTCTAATTGTACATAAAGCATAAAATTAACTTTCAGTATGCTAAATGTAACAACTAATTAATATCCCACAGAATTTTTCAGCTCATGAATATGTAAGTATTAGCTTGCTAATCAAGTTTTAAGTACATCCCTTCAGTGCAAAGAGCAGTAAAAAATTAATTTTATAGCTATGAAGCTCAAAGGTAAGGCTCAGCAATCATTCTAAATACAGTTACAACAGGAAATTCAAATCTTGAGGTGTTAACCAAAAAAAGATTTTAGATGTTCTTTTTAACCCATCAGGTGCAAACTAACAGCAGCATTTCTGACAGTGATGGAAACTATACAAGTAAAATTTGGCAATGCTTAAAATACGTCAGTGATGGAACAATCCCTCCTCCCCACAGCTATTAGCCCTAGCTTAAGTGTATGCTGAAACTATTTCTCAACTCTACTTGAAGTTATAACATGTAAATTCCTAGAACAGCGTTGGTGAGTGCAGAAACTAGCTTTAAGCACAAATTATTTCTATTCTAACACTCAGAAGTATGCTTTTATACCACACCACCCAAAGGAATCATTATTGATATTTAAATGCAACTCTTCCGTACTACCATGATTAAAACATTTGAATTTCAGCACTCTACTTCAATGCACATTGGATAAAAAACAGGTAGACAAAAAGATATATATATACAGATTATGCATCTAAAGTTACAAAAATAAATTTGATTACCTTTTAGAAGAGCTACTTTAGCAATAGGTTCATTTAGATCTTGATCATCCATTTGGGCATCTAGAAAAACAACCCACACCTTTCAGAGAGCAGGTAGACTGCAGACGGTTTTCATCTACGCATTCTTTAAGCGAAGAGAAGCTTTTACATTCTTCTCACTTTACAACAGTTAATTATGAAGTCGCAAAATATACAATACTGCTCTAAGTTTGTATCTGTCTCTGCATAATACAAACATTCTCCGCTCTTCTGGAAAATGAATTAAATCACTTAATCATGAGCAAACTAGATGTTACAGAAACCTCAGTTAAATGCTTACCTGTAGTGTCGTCGCTGCTTTTTTCCTTGCTTGGACTAAGAGTGTCTGACAAATCAGATTCTTTGACTCTTGCTTGATTCTCTGTAAGAGACAAGGAAAATCGACTACAATCAGTAAATATTCAGTCTCTTTCTATTGCTAAATGAAGATAGAAAGCAACGTAGTTGAAGAAACACTTAAAAACCTGGTGGTTGCTTATTTCTTTGCAAGTCTGGGCTAAAATGGATTCAGCATCACTGAAGTCATTAATCTAGTCTAGCATCTAATAGGGGATGCAACTGTCTCATGCACAGCTTGAACTTTTGTTAAAGCTGTATTCCTGCCAGCTGGAACTCTGAAAAAGCTGATTCAATCAGGGAACAAATAAGAAAAGAAAACTAGAACAATGCAGATATTGTAACAAGTCAGAAAGAAACTGCTGTTAAGAATAAAACTGTGCTTCGGTATTTTGGACAAATAAAATAACAGCAACAAGTCTTGTATATACTGTACTGTTAAAAAAAAGCATGGTATGAACCAGTAAAGAATCACAGCAATATACATTAATACACTAATTTCTAGAAAGAATTTTCAGTTCAAATTGTATAAAGAGAAGGCAGTCTATGTCCTTTCCACCAAAAAAACCTTCATGAAATATCTGTTCATACACAACTCACCACATTATTATATGCAGCTTAGTGAAGCCACAAAGTTGTTTTTGTTTTGCCTTTTTTTTTTTTACCAGTTCTAGATTTTTAATAGAGACCAGACATTTTCGAAAGGTGAGGGGACTAGTGCATCCTTTTCCCACACAGAAGTATCCCTGACTCAGAGCCTAAATACTTTATGAGGCTGTAATCTCCCCCCCCCACCCCCACCCCCAATAACCATTCCAGTTTAGTTCTGATGGGTCCATTAAACAAAGTCACACTACCTCTGGTGTGGACAAATCTAGTAAGTTTGTCAGCAAGGAACCATGCCACCAATATGCAGGTGAGGTTATACATAATGAAGTCTTTCTTGGCTGACTATGCAGAGCCTTGGTTTGACAGCATCGCTGCCCACCCACAGATTAATAAAGGTTTCCTCTGAGTCTCAAGTTCCAGGTAGAGATATATATTAAAAAAAGGCATCATTACAACATTTCTACTTTACTTCTACCACACATGCAGAAAAGCACAGTGAACACAAGTAATTTCTTCACATATAGATACTGTAGACGCAACAAAAAAGTACCAGGACACGGGAAGAAAGATGCACAGCAATAAATAAATCAAGTGTTATACCAACAGGTTTAGTATATGAAAATATGTAAAAAACAAAGGAATAATGAGAAAGCTTGCGTGCATTGTTTTTTCAAATGACAAGAGAACAAACAGAACTAAATACCCCCAAAATGAAAGAAGTGGAAACTGAAAACAACTTGTGCACTTACACTGGGGGATTGGCAGATGACAAAATACAGACAGGTTAATAGAAGGAAAAAAAAAGTTTTCTTCATCTAACATGACAAGTTTTCTATTTCTCTGTGCCAGAATAACATCCACTTGTACGTGAAACAGAAGAAGGCAAGTACAAACAAAGTAGCTGATTAAGAGCCAGACTCTTCCTATCTTAATGTAACTGAAATCACTGGAGAGGGAGAAGGGGAAAGCACCCGAACACTTAAAGCGCATTAGGGGTTCAGACCTGGCAGCTATTCCAAACATATCTCATATGACTTCTGCAGACTTCAAAGCTCATAATGACTGGAGTAGTTAAAAACTTGAGCTTTGGGGTGGTTCTTTGCTGAAACAAAAAGGGTACTTCCCTATTTTTAGGAATAAGGTTTTTAACTAATATCTAAAGATTCTACATGTATCATATAGAATCAAGCTCACAAGATTGCCATTAAAACTGTAATAATTACTAAATCAGGTAATACATTCTTTTTAAAGTATTAGGAAAAGTACATCCTAAAAGCCTCACCCATGTTGTTTGTATTACTGGCCAATCCAGACACCCTAAGATGAGCAATATCTGTATCCAAGTAACTTTACCATATCTGGTCACACATGGAAACACAGCTTTCTTGCTCTGTGCAAAACAGGAGGAACAGTGCAAGTTCCAACTGCTGAATTAGTTCTCTCTCCCCCCACCTCCCTCCCATACTCCCCTCACATCCACCCTCAGGTACACCAGCTTTTTCCTCCCTCCTATCCTCCTCCTCCTGAAAGAAGGTACAATATTAGGCACTAGAGGAAGGATGCATCAGTTTCTACATCTGAAAGAGCAGAACTCAAAAAGAGAAATGGTTTAGAAATCTGCTTCCTATTCTGGAACCAGAGTCATAAGCACAAAACTCCTTCCTGTACTGTATTATTTCAGAGCAGTTGTCCCTATTTCCCATAATAAAACTGAGCTGAATAAATATAGCCAAAATGATGAAGTATATTAAAATGTGTTGACATCATACTTACTTGATGAGTTAGAATATATTAACAAACACTAAAAATAGCTCACTGCTTTGCAAGATAAGTGGCATGCAAGTGTTACGTTACAGTTATTGTATGCATTCTTTTGCCAAATATGGCATGTTGTCTATAGCTTACTCACGTACAGAAACAAATTAAAGGTGCAATATCATGCATTAAGGTAAGAGAAGATAAATTGAAAAGTCCCTAAAATACCAGAACTTTTAACAAGCTAACACTTAGTCAATACCATAACACTTTGCAGAAGGACAGAGGGTAAAGAAATGAGTTAGTATGTCTAGACATTAATAAAAAGCTACAAAAGTCGAGTCAGCCTACGAGTCCAAACAATCTTACATTATTAGACACATAGGAAATATTGATCTACACACTTTCTAGCATTCCTGATTTTAGCACTGCAAGATAAGGGTGACTGTTCCTTAACAACATAAATCTTTTCTAATTAGATCCTTGTATTTCACTTGTTTTATACAGAAGAGAAAAGAGTTAGAGATGCACATTTATATTTTGCTTGGAAAAGGCACGTTTAGGAAGTTAATCGTTATTTTAAAGTTATGAGGGTGTAAGTCAGAAAAAAGTCAAATGAAAATACACTTCTATTTAAAACTTAAAATGAGACCAAACATTATTTCTATTTAGTCCTACAATAAAAACAAAAACCCTTTTGAAATTTATGCAGGCACTAAAGATTTAAATCAATTTATAAAAATTATTGTATTTTTTTTAAATGCACATTCAGGTAAGAACTCAGTCAAAACTGAGACTAGCATTTCATGCACTCAATCTTCAAAAATTGTTTCCTTTAAACTTTTTATCCTACACTAGTATTTGGAGCAGAGTTCAGTAAACAATATACCTCCCCTTCATTGGTTTTTTTTGTCTTAAGTGAGTATTCAACAAAACTCAAACTGCTAGTTTAAGACAGAACATGCACTGAAGTGACATAAAAGACATGCTTCAAAAACAGTTAAATAATCCAGAAGTCTAACCTTTCAAAAGCTTTGTTTCTTCCACTTTGGTTAGATGTCCTTCATCTATGATCTTGTCTGCCAAACAAAATAAGTGTTACTTTCCAAGCTCAAATTAAGCAAGCTTTTCCCTGCACACATCTACGTAGACTACATTCCATGACCAAATTAAAAGCTGATAATATTACTTCCTACTCAGGCTTGAACAAAAACTTTATTCTGGCATGGAATAATGAAACAGAGCACACAAGCCTACTGGAACTTTGTGACAAAGTGCACAGTTATTTCTCCTACAATTTATTAGCTTACACTATTAATGCTTCAGTTCACTAATGAGAAGTTAGAAAAATTAATTTTTATGAACTTTTTTAAAATAAAATCTAACTGGGAGCAATAAATAACTAATAAATTTCTCAAGCTATAGTTATCAAAAAAGGAATTCTAAGAGACGGTTGCCTGAAATAGATATCCACCAGACACAGCAGAAATCTAGAAATATGCCACAGTAAAACAGCAACTGAGAAGCCACCTCCACCACGTCACAACTGCTTTAACAGTACCTATGAAAGGTACACAGAAATAGCCTTTCTTAGCTTAAAACTTTCAGAGAGCTGCACAAATTCCAAAAAGTTGTGCATGCATCACATCCATGTTCACAAAAGTTGAGTTTACATATAGCATTGACAGGGAAGTCTATTCATGTATGTCAGGTGCATAAAAACCTAAAACACGGAATTTGAGACTAGATTACTAACTTCATCCTAACTCCAGCTAGGACATGAAGGCAAACAGTAAGACCAAGGAAGAACAGGTTTGGATTAATCAAAGACACTAAAAGAATTACTGAACCAGTAATTAATTAATTTATTTTTTGGAGATTTCATTATTTCAAATTCCTTAACAACCGGCTAGTGATGCCAACATGCAAGATTATTGAGGGTCACATATCTTACAGATCACATAATCAATTTCTATGCAGTAGCTCTTGCAATGTTAAAAGCTGTTAACACCCACTGAAACACCAGGCTTGAAGCTGCCTCTGCCTCCACTCTGTGCTCTCCCTGCCGGATCCCTGACCGTCAGGCAGGGAACCCCATTTGCTGCTTACCCCATGTGCTGCTAACAGGGAACTGAGATGCAGAGAAGACTGGACAAATAGGAGAGTGCAGATTAAGGAAGCTGGATGACATAAATTCTTTTCAAATTTTTAATTAAAATAAAAATAGCGAGCTTTAGTCAGCATTTCCAGCTTCAAGTAGCTCTGAAGTTTAAGAAGTCTCTGTACTCCTCCGATGGCATGTTGCTGTAACCATGACAATCTAAGGACGGAGACGGGACATTTGCATGGAGATATCTTTTTCAACGCTAGATGGTAGACAAGCTTTCAGACAAAAAAACCTTGAGGTCTGAAGAAGGGTTTGCATGGCCAAAATCTTGTCCTGTCCCCTCCCCCACACCCAGACAAACTAGTCTAAAAGAGATATTCCATCGACTTTTATCTACAAATACTGTCCTGCATTCCTATAACATTTTACAAACATTGCTTCAGAAATATACTGAAGAGCACACTGGATTTTCAGGATTGGCTTCAGGTCTCAAGCAACTGTAGGAGATCACTCATCATCCAAGTTCAGAACAGTCCCGAGTTCATCAGAGCTGG